AACACCAAAGAACGGAGTGAGGTGGAGGACGAGGATGAAGGGCCTATTGTTCCTAAGGGAATGAACAGGATTAAGCAAGAAGCTATTAATAAACTATCAATAAATAATTATTAATTAATAAAATCTGAAAGATTCTTGTGTTACGTCATAGAGCTGCAGAAGCAAGAAACAGACTACGATTGATGAGGTTAAGATACAACAATAATAGGGTGAGTACATATTGAATAAAAATGAAAAATGGTCAATGAAAATGGCTTGTTGACAGCATGGTTCCCAAATGCAGCTTCTCAATAATACACACAGAATCATCATGACAAAATAGATTTTTGGTCGATGTCACTGTATTCTATAGATCGACACAATTGTTAAAAATCTTGTGTTTAGCTACTGTAACTAATGCATGTTGTTGTATGGATACCTGATATAGGCATCAGAAGTAAATCATCTCATCTCCTGCCAACCGACAGCATTAAAAGCTGTCCGTCTACAGAGTTTAGTGCCACCTTACACAGAAAAAATCCACATCAGGGATCTTTTGGGAAAAAATGAGGTACTTAAAAAAATGATATTATTTTGTGTATACTAGCAATGCTTTCTAGACAAAGATATAACTGTTGTTGTTATATACCAACTATCAAAGTCCATTTTCCTTGAACTCTGATTGGACAAGAGGGTATCATGTGAATGCGTGAACAAGTTTTCATGTTTCCACACCAATGCCTTTCAGGGCACAACAATAGGTTGCAACAAGTCAGACAACGGTCGGAAGGGCAGTTGTAATTCAGGATATTTACTTTCGGTTCATTACCTGGCTTCTGTCACTTAAGATCATAGGCAATTGGTTCCTTTTAGTGATAAAAACCATTAGTACCCACACCCAACTGGACATCCCCTGAGCATCCCCGCCCTTTGATATATATAGGAGTACCCCCCCCCCCTGCAGGGATATATAACTGTAACATGAACACTTATTTTACCAACTTCAACTATTGACAGCTAACATGTAAAACTTTATATAATATAAAATAAATAAAAAATTTTTTTCAGCGTGGTCGTATCAATGCTCTCTTAGAGGATGAAACTGGCCTGGAGACATCAAGAATTCTCTCCTGATTTGAACTGAGCTGTCTCATTGACAGTATTTAGTGTCAGGACAAGAGAGATGGTGAAGGTGTTTTCCTGTCTTCAGATATATTAACGCCTTGGACTGTAAACCAGAAAAGAGAGGTCAACCTAAAATAATGAAAGGCCATTCTTTGGGACCCCCTGTCCCATTCTTCTTCCAATGTCCTTTTATTGGTTAACAAAAAGGCTAACAGGAGAATTTTTGTTTTTGTTTGTGAAGTCCTAGGTTCCAGAAATCATCAATACCCCCCCTCCCCCAAAGAGTAATTTGGAATTTATGGGAGAAAATTGGAATTTTCCAGGGGGGGGGGGTGGGGGTCTAAAAATTCCTCTGTTTGGGGTATGTATAATTTCTGGAACTACTCATTTGTTAAAGAAACGAACAATATTAAAAAAATATATTCATTTTTTAATCTTTTGATAATACTTTCATGATATCACATTGCTATTCAGATAAAAAATATATTATAAATATTGTTATATGTTGTGCTTTCATGTGTGAATATAAAATACTGTATAATTTTTTCATTATAGAAAATAAAAAATATGATGATAGTCATTACTTATATTTAGGGGACTGCAATTTTCCATTCTGCTAACTCCGATATTTCTACAGCTTATTGTGAAATTGTTTTTTCGCTGCCGCCAGTCAAGATGTAAAAGGTACTGACTGATTATCTTTGAATGACGGCTGCAAAAAACCAATTTTCAGCGTGCAGCTCGCAACTACCGAGTAGAATAAGGAAAAACGCAGTAATGGTTTCTGATGTCTTGTGGCAGATTGGGCACAGGAGAAACTGGAATACTTTCAAGCTCTTCTCATTTTTGAAATTAATTCTTCTCTTTTTTTTTAGGACAAAAAGCTAAAATATTAATATAGAACACCAACTTATTGTATTTCTAGTAAAAATATTATCGAAGTCAAGTTATTCTAAAGTTCCTAGTTTATAGACCATTTTAGTCTGGACATAACATTTTTTGATTTCAGAACGCACGTCATTCCCTACAGTATCATTATTTTCTTCGTTTTAATGGTTGCACACCTTTGACTAATGGTACAACTCAAACAAAGAATCTTATTTTAAAGAAAAAGTTATGTCTGAAATGGTCAGTCAAACATTACGTCTAAGATAAGTGTGACAGAGTCAAAAGACACTATTTTGGACAGTAATTATTTAG